GGGTAGGACGGATGACCCGTTTTGCCACCCCTATTCACCACGTGTTTGGTTAAATGAGTTGAATAATAAATATAAACTTGAATTGAACAACTCAGATCACAATCGAAACTACGAGGGATAACACCAACGTAATTCTTGACTTTTTGAACGGTTTTTCTTCATGCCTATTTACTTATTCTTTTATTTCGGATCCTATAAAATTATCACAATTTAGATAGTTTTTATTTTATATACAAAAATACTTATAAAATCCATTTAATATTTATAATTATTTTTCTGATTTAACCGACTTAGATATAGTGACCTGGTATTTCAAATATATTAAATAACTCTTTTTAGAAAATCCTTACCCACACAACTGAACTTGGACAACAAGGTGGCATCATGGCATGGGTCCAACTCAAAGAACCCTAGCCTCTTTTTCTTTCTTTTCTCGTCCTATAATAACAAATCCCTACAAAATAATTATAATTTAATGATAATATATTTATTTTATAATAATATTACTAATGCTTACTCAGAGCAACTTTAATGCAGGGTTGTTAAACCAAAATTCTTTATAGCTTACGTTAGTAATAAGGAATTTGCATTATAGTAGTGCTGACATGGCATATGGGATGCTCTAAAATTAGTTTACGTGCTCTACACAAGCAACGTACTCTAACTCATCATTTAACAAAAATAATACATTTTTATTAATTATTTAAAATAAATAATAGATTTTTATTAACCATTTAATACCATGTGGGGTCAAGTTTTGGTTTCTTATAGACAACCACCATTAAAGTAAAAACTACTCAAATCAACTATAAATTTTTTAAATCCTACAAATCACTTTGGACCCACAAAAAGTATCTTAGTTTACCCATTTAGTTTACTCCCACTAAAGATGCTCTCATATCTATATATCCAGAAACAATCCATATCCACATTGGTTCAATCTCAACCACTACAAAAAAACCCAAATGTAGAGTAAGCCAAAGCAACGTCAACGAATTGGTCGAAACATGTACACGTGTCACCACCGTATTTCTCCGTTACGTCGACCAATTTCCACAATCCACTTTCCAAAATTCATTGGCCTCCATAATTTTCATTTCTTTATTAATTAATTTAAATAAGAATTTGACGTGAAAAAGGGGTAGCGTAAATATGACAAAACAATTTAATTAAATAAAACAAATAGAGTATTGCTTTTTCGTGACCAGGAGGAACACCAAAAACTTTTCCTTTTTCTTTTTTCCTTATTATCAAGCTTTTGCCTCTTCTTTATTTTTATTATTTCTATAATAATCCTTCACCATTACTTTTCCCTCTGTGTTGAAAATTTGAAGTCCCCAAAACGACTGTCGTTTTAAAGAACGCTATTGTTTCTGGAACCTTCTTCTCCGGCGATTGACCGCAAGTGCAGTTGAGAACTCACCGGCTAGCGAATGCTATGACTTTCTCCGCATCTTCTCTTCGTCCTACCTCTTCTCCGTCATACTCTCAGGTTCCTTCTTCTCTTTCTATATACTTTCGTTAAGATTTATGCAACAAAAAAAACATCGTTAAGATTTATGCAAAAAAAAAATTCGTTAAAATTTATGCAAAAAAATTAAAAATTCGTTAAGATTTGTGCAAAAAAAAAATTGTAAAGATTTATGTAAAAATAAAAGTGTGTAAAAAAATGAAAAATCTCGTTGGATTTCAACTGGATTAATTTATGAATTCGTATTAAAAAAATTAAAGAATTTTTGATTATCTATTTGCTTCATTTTGTAGATTCAACAATAGTCTTGTTAAGATATGCGCAAAAAGGAAACTAAAAAAAGAAAAACATGCAAATTAATACTATTTCTGTTTTGGAGTATGCTACGGCTACTTAATTTGTATAATCTTGTTGAAATTTGAAGGGATTAATGAATGTTTAATCAAAAATTTTAATGCAAAATTGATGAATTGTGAGATGTGGAATGTGTGCGTTTTTCTGTTCTATTTTTTTTTTTTTGGATAAAATCAAGTTTATTTTTTTTGTTTGTTTAAGTTATAAGATGTTTTTATAAGTTAATTTGACGGATTAGTGACTAATTTATTGATGAATTGATGTAGCTGTTTGGAATATGAATAATGAATATTGATTGAATCATGATTTGGAATGATTTTGTTTGTGTGTGCACTTTGCAGTTGTTGTGCTCTCTAAGGTATAATGGGAAGCTTCGTAGGCAAATAAGTTTTGTTGTGACTCAAGGAAGAAAAGATCGCTGGTTAAGGAATGGTGTTACTGTTAGATCAGTGTTGAGTGACAATAGACCTAGTTTTAACAGTTATGGTGTGCCGGAATCGGCAAGGCTTCTTGAGAGGTTGTTTGAGCAGACGCACAAGCTGGAGGACCGGATGGCAGGAGAGGAACCGTATCTTCGTGATTTTGAGTCAGATCTTTTATCGGCGCTCATGGAATTGAAGGAGAAGGAGGATCATTTACAGGAAGTGGAGAGAACTGTTTTGTTGGAGAATGGAAAATTGAAGCATGCTAAAGAGGAGTTAGAGCGTCAAGAGAGTGAAATTGAGGCTGCTCGCAAGAAGTATGAGAGGCTTGAAGAGGAGATGAAGGACGCGACGGCTAGTTTGGTTTCTCAAAATAGACAGATCGAGGAGTTGAAGATCCAACTTAGGGATCGTGATAGTGAGATTGGTGGTTTACATGATGCGATGTCTTTGAAGGAAGAAGAGGTGGAGAAAATGAGGGTTGCTTTGGCTAAGAAGAGTGAAGAAGCTGCTTATGTTGATTCTGAGCTTAGAGATAAGGTTCGGCTTCTGAGTGAAGCAAACGAGGTTGTGAACAAACAAGAAATTGAGCTTCAAGAACTTCGGCAATTTGTACGACAAAGAGAAGATGAACTGCGTGTTACTGTGGCTGAGAGAGAATTAGAAGGAGAAAAGCTCAAGATTGCGGAGGCCTCTTTAGAAAAGCAAGCGATGGAGTGGTTGTTAACAAAGGAAGAACTTAAGAGACTTGAAGAGGAGGCTTCAAGGCATGCCCATGAGAGTAGTGAAACACTAGAGGATTTCAGAAGGGTGAAAAAGCTTCTCAGGAATGTGAGGTCTGAGTTAGTTTCATCTCAGCAATCGCTGGCGTCTTCTAGGAACAAAATGGAAGTACAGGAAAGGTTGATGGAACAGCAAATGGCTGAACTCGCAGACCAAAGGACGAGTGTCATGTTGTACATGGAAAATTTAAAAAATGCCCAAATAGAAGTGGAGAGTGAAAGAACAAAACTTAGGGTTGCAGAGGCTTTGAACAAAAAACTCGAACTGGATCTGTCCGCGGAGAAGGAGCTCATGAAGAAGTTACAGGAGGAGCTGAAGAAAGAGAGAGCTTCTTTGGAGCAGGCTGTCCAAGAAATGTCTTTGCTTCAACAGGAATTAGATATAAAAAGTGCCGAGTTTAAGAAAACAAGTGCTCTTCTTGATTTCAAAGAGTCAGAGCTTGTTGATGCTAAGCTAGAAATCCAGCATTTGAAATCTGAAAAGGCTTCTCTTCAGATTCTTTTAGAGGAGAAAGACTTGGAACTTTCCAGTGCTAGGAAGATGCTGGTGGAACTAAACCAGGAAATCTCTGATCTTAAGATGCTTATGAACAACAAAGAAACACAGCTTATTGAAGCAACCAATATGTTAAAGGAGAAAGATGAGCATGTGAAGATAATTGAGAATAAGCTGAATAATACAAGCCTGAAGGCTTTCGAGGCCGAAACTGTAGTAGAACGAGTTTTAGATCTCACAAACAAACTAGTAGCTTCCATTCAGAATGAAGACATCATCAATTCATCAAGACCACTAGATGAATTGAGCAATCAACTAACCATGCAACTTTCCGAGGAGCCTACTAATGAATTGAGTTTGCAACAAAAACGGCTTGAGAATGTGCTCGAGCTGACCAAGGAAAGCCTAAAAACAAAGGAGATGGAAATTCTTGCAGTACAGAAGGCTCTAACAATGAAAGATGAGGAGCTTAAAATGACTATTGCAAGATTGGAAGCAAAAGAGGAAGAGTTAAGAGGAGCAAGGGACAAGGTGACAGAAGATGCTAATGATCATGAAAGACTGCATACTTTGGCGCAGGCGAGAATCAATGAGAAAAATATGGATGACTTGGCAATCGAGAAGCTTCAGCTTGAGACAGCTCAGCATGAAGTTAAAGCTGCTACTAGTGCTTTGCAGAAACTTGCTGAAATGAGTCAACAACTTTTGAATAAAAGTAAAACCATCCCAAGTGTTGAAGCTGATAACTATATCAGTGCCATGCAAAATAACAATGATATTAAACTTGATTTAATCACAAATATCAATCGCATCGACTGTTTAGCCGTGGTAAAAGCAGGAGTTGCTCGACTCTCAGCATTAACAGAGCAACTTGTGACAGATGCTGGTCTTCTTGCTGCAAGCTAGAAGATTTGTCAAATGGACGACTCATTGTGGAAGGACATTGTCTTGTTATTCATGTGGCTAGAAGCCCTTGCAAAACCAGAAAAAGTAGGTTATTAGATATTCACTTTGTTTATAGCGATTGTATCTGTTGTGTATCTGTGCAGGTGTAAACTTTATTCTGTTGTACTAGCTACATTCAGAGTGTATTTGTTTTTACTTTTTACGATAAATATTTTATCAGATTTGCTTAGTTGCTCTCCATTAAACTAGTGTATATGATCAAATATATGAAAGAATAATACGCTCCATTTTTCTGGCCTTTTGCATTCAATATAAACAGAACATGAAATTTTCAATACATTGCAAATCATCTGTTGAAACGATATATACAAAGCTAGTCCATTAAAGGATATGTACAACTTCTACATTCAGAATCAGAATTAACATAACTTACGAATAATTATCATCTTTAACTAATATTGTTCACTTTCAAACTAGCATCAAAGTACAGCTTGCTTCAAAAGTTCAAAAACTAGCTAATGCCAAGAAGATGTATGCATTAGTTACTTAATTGTATATAAGAGTAAGTGTTAAGCACCATCTTTGAAAAGGAGATTAGAAACTGAAGGAACCCATGCTGTGTTGCCATGACTTATTATATTCCTTGTAGGACTATTGGTGTTTTGACCTTCAAGATGGTGGTTTTTGCTTTCTATTATTGCATTAAACTTCTTGCACCTCCTTACTTTGTTTCCAGCTAATATACCTAGTTTCAAAGCTGTTAATATGCCAAGTGCAACTAGAACAGGTCTAACTGCCCAGTGATGATCCTCAACATGTTGATACTTTTCTATAATCCCAGGACAAGCCTTGAAATCAACCACTTCAACCTCAGAAGGATCAGCCAAAAAGGTGTTTGATTCATTCCCAAAAGTCAGCAACCCTGGGAACTTGATTACCAAACACCCATTTGGTAGAATCCACGAAATCCGACCGGTAGCCGAGGTCCCTCCCCTTTTACGACGCCATTCGAATCGAGGGCTTAAGATATTCTCTTTTAGCCTAACGAACTGTCCTACACAGAACGATTCCGACATTTCGAGGTCAGAAGGGTTTCCTTTCCAGAGAGTTTGCAGCCCGATAAATCCAACAGCAGCTCTACTGTCATCTCGATTGATGGTATGTAGAATGCCAACTGGCGAGTGCTTCTGGTTTTTATCTTTAACTCGTACCCAATCACCAGCTGCCAAGCCATCTGTGACCCGTTCGAGAGTTGACGCGTGAATTCTTATAGGGTCGTGAATACCATGGACCCTCACAAGAACGAATCCATGATCTGCAGTGCGTTCTAGACCAACAACAGTTCCTTCTGGGACATCCATGTTTTGAGCTTTACATGAGTTGGGAGACTTTCTGGATCGGACCATGTCGCCCACCTGCAGGTGATCCTTTGAGAGGAACCATTCGGTGTAGTCAGTGCTGCCTGATTTTGCAATTACTTTCATATTTCCTTGATATCTCCATCCTCCATCGTTGCCTAGTTTACTCAGCGAACTGCAACATAGGAAGAACGATTAAGAATAGAGTAATATGCAATATAAAGTATTTCTTATCTGCATGAAGACAAATAGAAATTACTGAAAATATAACCATGCTCATGTACATACAATTCCATGCTAAATAAAACAAGAATCTGAAATATCACCAGAGAAAACAGTTTCAAGTTATCATATCTGGATACAAACCTTTTAAAGACGTGCAGAATATCTACCATCAAAGGGCGGTTCCTTAAATCATACTCAAAACATCCACTAAGGATATTCTCGATGGGAGAAGGAAGGCCACTTGGGATAAGTGGCTTTTCATGCTTTTCAACAACTGATCCATAAATTCCACCAACAGGGCATCCGTACCAAGGCTGATTACCAGTCAACATTTCAACAATGGTACAACCGAATCCCCATGAATCCGTTTCAATTGATATAGGACCTCCGACCTCTGGTTTCCATTGTTCTGGAGCCATGTAATTAGGAGTTCCAAGCCTTTGAGCGATATCTGAGCTAACGAATGAGGAACCAAGCAAAAGATTGGGAATACCAACATCTCCCAAAATCGCTTGATCATTGTCATTGAGAAGAACATTGCAAGGTTTAAGGTTCAGAACAAGGATCCCTTTAGAGTGAAGCTCCAGAATATCTTGAGCCAGATTGATCCCATACCTGCAACAAGTAGCATGCTCTTAGTATTGATCAGAGTTTTCCCCTACCTACAATACATACATAAGTTATAGATATGTACTAATTTGTTTCGAAATATAAAACCCTCTTGAGAAATTTCAGTGTCCCTTTTTATAGGGTATCTTTTGATTTTCAGCTGCATTATTGTTTACCAATATACCTTTAAATATTTTACCTCTTTTTTCTGCAACCAAGAATAAATACTATATTGTGAATATCAACTAGAAAAGATTGACCTTCGTAGCAAGGTGCTATGGACACAGCAGCCCTACAGGTGTATAGATAGGAATGGGAAGTTTTGCTAACTATGTGCTATGATCAGAACACTTGGTGTTTTAGAGTTATGATTGGATGATCATGGCCCATGTAGAGCCTCTTATTCATAGAGTTGGTATGCCCGCTCCAACTCGGTTAAGGTCGCTAGGATAACCGATGATCACTGGTTGCAATGGTAAAACCTTCTCCCGTGATGGGCAAGAGAATGGACGGTGGCGGCCGAGCATATCTTTATGCTAGGGTGACAATAACAGAGTTTATAGATACTAGTGTGTTTGGGTTCGGGTCATGAGTTGGGGACCGGAGGCCGGTTTATAGCCCCATCTGGAGGTGGTGGTCGCTCTCTTATCCTTAAGCCGAGATGACCGTGTTTAGGGTTAGTCACATGTTGGCGTATTGAGCTTAAGTGGTGAGCTTGGATGTTTGGTATTGGGTCATAGGCCCGTGTCTATATGAAGCCAAGGTCATGATGGCCTTCGAGTTTTATATCAGTCCAAAAAATAAAATTGTAAATTACTATCAAATATTAATATTATCAGCAACCTTCTAAATTCCCTGATTCAGGGACCGGGGTCCTATATTTAGGGACGAACATATCATATTTCACTGAAAACACATCACCTCAAAACATCACATAATGAAATCCATCCTTCTCTTAATCTAGCCATCTTGTCGCCAATTGAACCTTCATACAACTTCATAATAATGCAGACCTGTGAATACAAACAAATGCATATAAGCCTGATATAAGTCAAAAGGGTAGTAACTACCAACATCCTGTATGTTAAAATAAATGCAATTCCAAATCTAACCCTTCCATTTATCATTGAAACTCCATGTATCCAAGAAACACTAGAAACTCCTTGGCACTTAAAGTACAAATCATTGAACTTCTCCAGTACAATCTTCACATGATCCTCTCTGACCGGATGCAACATCTTAGCAGCAACTTCATGGTGTTCATCATAATCCTCAGTTGACTGATGAAGTGTAGCAAGCCAAACATCGCCAAAGGGTCCTCGACCAATTCGGTGCTGAAGTTTCAAAGTTTCAGGCTCAATCCACGGATTCGTCCGATTGGATTGGACCACAGCTGTTCTAGGTATGTCAGGATCTTTATCCAAGATCTCATAATCAAAAGGAGCAGCTGATGAAGTAGCCATGACTTCTCTAGACATTCCTAAATGCAAAAATTGTAATACTCATTATATAATTCAGAAAGTTTCAAAATTCAAATGATTAGAAACATAGAAGTTAGAAACAGAAAAATCACTCACTCATAATCTAAGAAGCACGGACACCCTAAACACGACCCCGACACTGACACGACTATACCTATAATAATTTGAAAAAATAAATAAATTAAATGTAATCACAAATACAACTAACATGCCATTTTTCAGAGGTGTCTGTGCTAGATTGCTCATAACCACTAAGAAAGTCAACATATACAAGCAAACTCACCTTCTCAGAATCATAGAATAGAATATAACAAAACATATAAATTCAATCAATAATTACTTTATCTAATCAATCAAAGTTCAAAATATATGAATACTATAAAAAGGAGCAAAGAGAAAACAGTAAACGAAAATCACAGCAACTGATTATAATAAGAACTTGAGAGAAAAAAAATCAGAATAATAATTAGAGTGAGTGAGAGGTGTGAAATGATAAAAAACATGAAGATAGAAGAAATTTGTATTACACAAGTTTAAGGAAACAACCTTTGGTTTCGGAGGAACGGAGTCTCTGAGAAAACAAGAACAGAGAATCCGATTTTGGTGAAGCAAGTAAATTTAAAAGGGTAATGCGGTAAATTTGTTTAGATTGACACCGTTACGGTGACGCGGCTATTTAATTGAGCTGACACGTAGATTTAACGGATGTACAATAGAAAATTTGCCTTAATTTTGGTATTAAAATGGGCGGGGCGTTTATTTCCACGACGAATAAAGGTTTTTAAGAAATAAATTATATTGAAGGTTAAAAATGAGAATCTATTTGGTTAAACTAACTTAGTTTGCTATGCTAGCATATCTTGTGCTAGCTCTTTTAATATATTTTTCTTTTGCCTCTACAAAAAAACTTAGTTGAGAATGATGTAAAAACATCGGATTTATTTGAATTTGTGACGTAAAACTTGTTCATAGAATTTGGTAAAAAGAAAACTTAAATGTATTTTTTTTTTGGTACTTTTGATGTTTTTTAAATTTTAATTTTATTTTAAAAATTAAGTTCTTAATTTTTCAATTTTAATGAGCGTATTTGTTCCTATTTGAATGAGTCATATAAATGTTAAAATTAGTCATTAATAATGTGGTGTGGGTCTTGAGAGTGTGTTCCTCTCAAAGTCTCAGGTTCGAATCCTATTAGGTGCAATTAATTTTTGTGTTAGGGTAATCTATATAGAGTTTTACTCTGTCTTTAAATAGAATCATCGCTAGTTGACAGTAAAATTTGTCCTCTTAAATTGGTCGGTCACAAGGTCAGATATTAAGATTTAAAAAAAAACAATACGATGTAGGACAAATAAAACTTATTTCTTGTGTATTTATCTAAAATTTATTTTTTGTAGATTCTTAAGTCTTAGACTGTCTTCCATCTCATTATATGTTCAAATTCATTTTGAAGACAACGTGTTCTCCATTATCACTGTCGTGATTGAATTTATTTGTAACACTATGATTTTTAACAGCAAGAATGTATTTTTAAAAGGTACCATTTTGCATAATAAATTAATTAAAGGTTTTCTCTTTATGAAAATAACATCCTTTTTTTTATAAAGACAAATACCACGATCAATTTTATATTTGATAATGTTTTAAGAACTCGATATATGCTTTACAAAAGAAATTAGTTTAACCATTTTAAAATATAAAATATATTGTACATATAAACAACCAAGCGTCAAAGAATGTGAAGTGTAGATAGTGATTAAAATACAATCCATAAAACGATAGAATAAAAATTATGGGCAGACATCACACAGAAAAACTACCCCAAGGGGAAAATTTTGAACCATGCATAGTGAAAGTCATATGGCGCACGCCATCTAATGCTAAAATACTCCTACCAGCCACATACTCCACTCCCTAGTTAAGCCTAACGACAACCATATCAGAAGTTCATAGCCCTACGGAAGTAAGTGGCCTTCGGATCCATATCAGCAATTGTGGTGGTCTCCAATACGTTCTCGGTGAATGAGACCCGTCCTAGGATCGAGTCGAATTCCCAGGACGTCTCAGTCCAATCATCTGAAAAAGTGAAGTTTGTCGTCTTCGATGGAGGTAGCTTATCGCGCCTCAGGCATGTCATGATCTAATGGCATATTCGTCCACACATCCACTAAATGGGTCATCAATCCAAAAATAACAAATATACAATAGCATAAATAGAGAATACATCATACATAGCTAGAGATCTCATTCCAACACATGTATATAATCATTTACAACTATAATAGACATAGCATAGTTAAGACTCATTCCTAATGCAATGTCTATATGCCGATGCACATGATTATAGAATATCAGCAAATGGTCGGGCTATCACTTTAAGATATAGTGCCACCAAGGTGATGGGTATCTACACCATCAATCAGACTCAAAGATCCACGTCAAGATAAGGTAATTCCATCTCAGACACACACCCCGTGTCACCTCTCCGTTGTGCACCTCGTGACTCATCTCCGGTAGCCACGTAACCATGAAATGCATGAACATACAATTCAATTTCCATATATGCATTTCAACACATGGGTAACATCACAGCATATCATATGAAATAATTTATCTCATGTATAAAATTATTTCAAATATATATATATATATATATATATATATATATATATATATATATATATATATATATATATATATATATATATATATATATATATATATATATATATATATATATATATATATATATATATATATATATATATATATATATATATATATATATATATATATATATATATATATATATATATATATATATATATATATATATATATACTCATTTACACAAATAGTCATCTCTAAAATAAAACACGTAAGAAGATAAGGAGTAGATATAAATATAAAATATATTTTTATCATTGAAAAAAGTATAAAAATTAAGAGATGCATTTATTGTAACGAGTTTTTTTGGTTATAACCTCTGTTCACAAACTGCGTAATATCGAACCCTAAATCACATAATATTTTATCATTAAATATATCATAATATTTTTTTATATAATTTTTTTATTTTATCATTAGAATTACATTTTTGTTTTTAATTAATAAAATTAGTTACATAACATAAAGTAATAAACTAGAAGTTCTTTTTAATGTAATTTATATATTTTTATACGTTCATAATTTTTTTTACGTAAAGAAAACTAATATATATTTCTATTATTAGATAATATATGTTCAATCAAAATTAAAAAAATAAATTTATGTAATAGGCTAAAATATTTATATCTTTCTTTCTCCTTAGCACACTGCCATTCTAGTTTTCACTCTTCAAACATAAGAAACATAAACATGTCATTGGTAGTGTGTGTGATATATCTCAGAGAGTGAGATAACAGTTCATATTTTCATTTCTTTAATGAATTAAAGTTAGTTTTTAAAGCATAAGAATTAACTACTATTCACATGCTTATTCACTCATTCATGCCTAGACAATCAGTAGAGTTCCTTAGAGATCATAAGTTTATGACAAGGTTAATAAATTTTCTCTAAAAATTTAATCTTATAAAAAAAATTTAGTAATTTATAATAATGGTCAATTTAAAGCCTTTTTTTAAAAATTAAAAATAAACTAATAAAAATTAGGAAAAATATTCTTTTGGTCTCGTATCTTAATTTTGGGATTGAAGTCCTTTAATTTTAAAAAGGTTCATATTTATCCCTAAAAATTCTAATATGAAACGTTTTGAAGAGTTAAGGGACCAATATGAACATTTTTAAAGTTAAGGGAGCAAAATGAATCTCGAGATTAAAATACGGGATAAAAAAGAGTATTAAGCCTAAAAAATTATTTTTAACTTTTATTTAAAGATATTTTTATCAACTAATTTTATAACCACAAAATCTTTATAATTTTGTTTATTGAATTTTTTTTTATAGTTTTCAATCTTTTATTTACAGTTTTATAACCATGTAGTCTAACAATCTCGAAAATATAAATTTCTGTTAACTTAGCTACATTATAGGTTGTTCTCATAAGTAAGGAATGAGAAGACTTGGTCAGACGATTGACAATTATCCAAATTGAGTCATGCATCCTTCGAGTTTTAGGTAATTCAGTGATAAAATCCATTGAAATGCTATCTCACTTCCACTTGAGAACATCTAAGATTTGCAACATTCCTGATGGTCTGTGGTGTTATATATTTGCTTTTTGGCAAGTCAAACACGATGCTACATAATTTGCCACCTCCTTCTTCATTCTTGGCCACCAATAGTTTTGCCTCAAATCCTTATACATTTTTGTTGCTCCAAAGTGAATGCTTAATTTGCTCTTGTGGGCCTCCTCTAAAATTAGTTTCCTTATCTCTGCAACATCAGGTACACAAATTCTTTCGGTGCACCTTAAAATATTATCTGGTCCTACTTTAAAACCGGGTGGCTTTCCTTGTACCATAAATTCCTTTTTCTCTTCTAAGAGTGGATTGTCTTGAAAGTTTTGAATGTCTTCCAAAAGTCCATTAAAAATTCTGATCATTCTACATTGTAGAGTTTTGTGTCACAACTTTACATCTAGGTGCATGTCTCTAAATGTTTCCCATAGCTCTTGTTGTTTGGCCATCAATGATGTTGTTATAAGGACACCCTTCCTACTTAACGCATCTGCCATAACGTTTGCTTTTCCTGGATGATATTGTAATGTGAAATCATAGTCCTTCAAGGTTTCCATCCATCTCCTTTGACTCATATTTAATTCCTTCTGATCAAACAAGTACTTCAAACTCTTGTGGTCACTGAGTAACGTGAACGTACATCCATAGAGATAATGACGCCAAATATTTAGCGCAAAAACTACTGCTGCAAGCTCCAACTCATTAGTGGGATAATTCCTTTCGTGATTCTTCAATTGTTTGGAAGCATATGCTACCGCCTTCCAGTGTTGCATCGACGCACATCCTAAACCTTGATGAGATGCATCACAATAAGCTTCA